GAAGAAAAGCTTGTGGTAAATATCACTGCCCTTTTATCTTTGTCAAAAAGATATCACTGCCCTTTTATCTTTGTCAAAAAAATATCACTGCCCTTTTATGATATTTACTTACTTTTCTGCTCTTTATGACATGTCTTATACAGCGTACTAGTAAAATGGCAGGTGTACTCTTAGTGGATCATTTAATCCATGTTCTACCACAATAAAAGGGATTGTAGGTGGTGTGGGAAAGGAAAAAATATACTGGTAAATTGCTAGTACCTCCAATTACCTAGTGGAAAAAAAAAACTTGCAAATACGCCCACTTTTATGAAAATTAGCTGATATGGGCCATCCAAAACCAAGAAGAAGGAAACTAAATCCCCGCAATCCTGAACCATTGCTAACCTTCTCATTTCAATTGGATACACTTGGGAAAATTCTTATGAATGGCATGAGCTTATGCCCCTAATTCTGAATGTATGCTTGATTTTCATCAAAAGAATTATCTTTTTTTTTTTAGATGATAACAGTCATCAAAAGAATTATCTTGGTTAATAAACTAGCTTGGTCAAATTACTTTGTAATGTGTCTGTGCTTGTGTGCCCGCGCCACCTGGGTCAAGCTTGTCTTAATCCTTTTTGCCTATAGAATTCAACTAAAGAAGGACTTTCCAAAGACTAATCTACTAGCTTAAACATTTGAATACTATTATGCAGGACATATCCAGGTTAAGGCAAAAGTAGTTGACGTACAGGAAAAAAGCACAGGGGAGACTCATGTCATTTAAGCAAATTTTGGTTGTCATTGGGTAATAGTAACGGGAAGGGGCCCACTATAACGACTTATCATCCTCAGTTACCATGTTCTTCTGAGAATTGAAATTATCATCCACCATAATTGCGTCTGTGACAAAAAGAATGAGTTGATTGCTCACATTGTGACTTTAGAAGCCAGCATGGCTTAACTGTCAATCTTTTGAAAGAGTATTTAGTTAGTTAATATCCCAAAGCTGCTCAGAGGTTTTAACTTAAAATTTTAGTTATTTAAGATATGTCATCTTTAATACTGGTTATATTTCAACAGTATGATCTGAATATGGGTTTGATCTTTTACCTTCTTGAGGTTTTGGCAGGTTCGACCTACTAGTGAAACAATTGTTAATCATATGTTTACTCAATGGATCCACAGTTACCGTGACCTTCCTCTCATGATCAATCAGGTTTCTTTCAATCGCATCCTTCATTTTACTGTGTTACCTCTAAGAAATGAGACTATTTTGATTCTCATTTTGTACCATCTAATGTGTTTCAGTGGGCAAATGTCACAAGATGGGAGATGCGAACCAAACCATTTATTAGGACGCTTGAATTTCTTTGGCAGGAGGGCCACACTGCCCATGCCATTGCAGAGGAAGCAGAAAAAGAGGTCTTTATCCTTTCTATATGCCCCTATATTCTCTAGTTAGTGCCATTACTAATTTTTTTATAACACGTTGCCACTTGCTGAACTTCAGGCAATGCAGATGATCGATGTGTATATAAAATTTGCTTATGAGCAAGCTGCAATACCTGTTATTGCAGGTAGGAAATCTAGGGTGGAGACGTTTGCTGGTGCTTCAAGGACCTATACAATTGAAGCAATGATGGGAGATAGGAAGGCTTTGCAGGCTGGCACAAGCCACAACCTTGGTCAGAATTTTTCGCGTGCATTTAATACACAGGTAAATTTAAAATGTAAACAATATGAATATGTTGATAATTACCTTCAGTCGGAGCGTCTTTCATCCTCTTTGTTTAACTGGTTATCTTAGTATAACAGTTTTAATGTTTAAACAGTTCACAGATGAAAATGGGCAACGGCAACATGTCTGGCAGACATCATGGGCAATTAGCACTCGCTTTGTGGGAGGTATCATCATGACACATGGGGATGATGCCGGCTTACTGCTGCCCCCAAGGCTGGCACCTGTGCAGGTTCTTAAAACTTCTTTTTGACTGGTTAATTTTCATATCTAGCAAGTTTTGAGTAATTGTCTTAGTTGTGTGATTTCCTGGTTTGGGTGACAGCTTTGAAAAGTTCTGATTGTGAATCACCATGCTCAAGTAGTATCACAAGAATAGCAAATTACGAATAGTTCGGTGGACGGAAATTGAGTTGATCTGCTGTATACCCTGCTCTGTTGTTCTATTTTAGCTTGCTAGCTGTTCATCTCTTCCTTCATCTTGTGTACTAACACATACAATGGCATTCTGAAGATATTTAATTTCGACCAGTGGGTCACGATGATTGAATATTTTGCTTGTTGGATACTCCCAGGTTGTTATTGTCCCAATATGGAAGAAGGACAATGAGAAGATGGGAGTTCTGACTGCTTCATCATCTGTGAAAGAAACGTTACAAGCTGCAGGGATAAAAGTGAAGATTGATGACACGGATCAGAGAACGCCTGGATGGAAATTCAACTTCTATGAAATGAAGGTGTGTATTGACCTCTATGGAAATTCAGAAGTTACAAGATAAGGACCTAAAGTTCAGAAGAAATGACTACCAATTGAAACCTGTGAGAACATACGTTTTAGTGTTTCATCAAGTAGAAAGCCAGGTGTTTTAGTCATCGGCAGTTTTAAAAATGCTTGCTGTGTTGTCGGCCTTAGTTTTGAAATTTCTCTTCTTTGGGTTGTTCTTTTTCTAATCTGACCGTTTTCTTGGAGTAGGATGATATAATCAGTGCTTAAAGTTGGTACGCATGGTTATAGGCTTTATCTGCCACCAAGACTGAGGCCAAATGTTAAGTGTTTGTTTGATAATACTCTATAATACACCTTGCTCCTATGTAGGGAGTTCCTTTGAGGATTGAAATTGGCCCCCGAGATGTTTCAAGTGGAACCGTGGTCATCTCTAGGAGAGATGTTCCTGGAAAGCAAGGGAAGGTTTTTGGAATATCCATGGAGCCTTCATCCCTGGTGGCTTACGTCATAGACAAGTTGAATGAGGTTCAATCAACCCTTTTGGAAAGGGCAACAACTTTTCGTGATAGGTAAGTTCTAACCATTTTGTTATTTTGCTGGCAGTACAATGAACTGCATTTTCTGCTGCACACTTTTTTATCCATTCGGTTTTCATTTGATGATAACTGTAGTTTGACCTAAATTACTAGAAATATCATGGGCGAAAACAAAAAAACTGACTCCAATGAAGCACACACGTGTTCTAAAAGTATGCGACAAGGACAAACTAAAATTCCTCCCTAGGACCTAGTTGCATAATGTAAGATGAACATCTATTTTGCCTTTAGAAACATCGAAGAACAATGCACTTGTGACTAAGCTTAAAATAGAAGTTCAAATTTGGACACTTTGTAAAAAGTCAGCGATAATCCTAAGTTTGTAACTTGTTAATAGAATCTAATGCTTTTTTTACACACAGTATACATTCAGCATTCTGCACCAATTATAAATGCAAGTTATGCAAACCTTAACAAGCTTTTGAGCTTACCAGTTGTTGAAGTGAAATTTAACCTTCACAATATTTTTGCTGGCTATCAAAGTTTTTCAATGATCACAGGTTTGCGGATTATAATGTGTAGAGTTTGTATCAAAGATTTACCCATCACCATTTGCCTTGGTGTCTGCATTTCATGTGTGTCTTTCTGTTGGATATTGAGTTTCTGTCTGATTTGCTGTTGCCTTGTATCATTCCAGTAACATCGTGGACGTGTATTCATATAATGAGCTTAAGGAGGCAATAGCTCAAGGAAAGTGGGCGAGGGGGCCTTGGTCAGCTAGGTAAGCCTCTTCTTATATTTTCATTTGTTTTGCATCTGGTGTCAGTTCTTGTCGGTGATCTGGGACTGATGTGTTAATGCAATACTTAACAAAACAGTGACGAGGAAGAATTGAAGGTGAAAGAAGAAACAGGAGCAACCATTAGATGTTTCCCTTTTGAGCAGCCTGAGGGACCAAAGAAGTGCTTGATGACTGGCAATTCAGCAGATGAAGTTGCAATATTTGCCAAATCTTATTAGCAACTTCTGTCGGTTATCGGCTTTTTAGTTTGAGATTTGATTACACTGTCAAAGTGATAAGGGTTAGTCTGGCCTTCATATTTAAATGGCACCATTAAGATTAGTAAAAATGCAGGAAAGGAAAACGTCTGTGCCCTTTTACGGAGGTCATGTTGTCAGGGACGGGACTTAACACTCATTATGCGAGCAAAGCACACACCACATATAAATGTCGCTGTCAACTAAATCATATTCAATTTTTTTTGTTGTTTTGAGTGAGAGGAGTTTACCAACGATAGGGATAAATTTTAATTGCATCTTGTGTGCATATTAAATGTAAAACTCGATTTTCTCAACCCGATTGGGTGAATTTGCTCTTCATTTGTCCTAGCATGTTTGGCTAAGCTGTAAAAATCAGATTATTTTGAGAAGTGTTTTTCAAAAAAGTACTTTCGGAGAAAAATAATTTATGTTTGGTTAATCAATTTGAAATATTTTTGAACAATAATTTGTGTTTTGAGCTTTTCAAAAAGTATTTTTATGTGTCAAATTACCAATAAGGACATGAAGAAATTTGCTTAATAGTTAATATTATATAAATAGATAAATAATTACAAATATTTATTATTTATTATTAAAACTAATAATTAAGTTTTTTATTTTATTTAAATAAAATATAAAAATAAAATTAAAAAGTACTTTATTCTTTCAAGATAATTTAAATATATCAAAAAATCATCCAATAAATATGAAAGTTCATCCCAAAAAGTCATTTTATATTACTTAATAGTTTAAACTAAGTAAAGTTATTTTGGTATATATAATACTTTGCAAAGGGTATTTTTGGTAGGAAGAAAAGTCAAAATTGCTTTTGCTTCCGGAAAGAAGCTACTTTTTTCTGCTTCTAGCCAAAACATTTTTTTTCCGAAAAAAAGCTTGGCCAAACACTTCAAATTGAGGAAAAAATCACTTTTTTGAAAGAAAAAAAAAAATCACTTTTGGCATGTTGATAAGCTTGACCAAACAGGCTATACATCTTGCATTTACAACTTGAATATGAAATTGTTAGCGTGTCTAAGTTTATACTGTTAAAAGGTCTACCTTTCAATCATTAGACCTTCGCCTTTCTTCTTTCTCTCTGATTTTTTACAATAACTCTTAACCCTTGAACAAGCTGAATATATTTTTGACAAAAGAAGTAACAATAAAACCTCAATACTTATTTGCAAATAGCCAAAAAAAAACACAGATTTCAAGAAAAACCAAATGGAAAACATGTAATTGGAAAACCTCCATCACACAAGTGTAGACTGCCAGAATCTATCTTGTTTCTAAAGATTACCCTGCCAGATAGTAAGCTTTCTGTATGACCTTGCAATTTATATTCGTTTGCATCATAAAAGGCTCTGGTACCATCCGACTTCAACACATTTTTATTTGCATCTTTCTCAAAATGCTTAATGTAACTCCGTAAGTCATCATGATTCGGATAGTTTTCTGGTGACTTGTGACCAAAAGAGAACTGAAATCGTTGTCCCCTAGCTGGATCACTGCCTCTTTGCTCGACTTGATCTAGTAGAGGATCATCATTGCAGCTGTTAGCTGTTAAACTTGAACCCTCATGACTCTCTGGGTGCTGAGTGTGGTCAGCTATTATCTGTTAGAAGAAAATCAACTTTACGTATGACTAAATTGTAATCCACCATCATGATTCTTCACTGTAATTTAAGATGTTATTTTCCTAATAGGTGCGCCAATGAATAAGGGTAGGAGAAGGAGAAAAGGAGAGGATATTTTAATATAGGTTCATGACCATGCAAGTTTTCATGACATTCAAGGTTGCTGTTTCTGCTCGCTTAAGTTGATGAGTAAGCAAAAGAAATAGAGCTTAGATATTCCAATTCCATACATAATTTGCTGGTCTAGGCTGCTGCCAGAGGATGCTAGTTGTGTTTTATGTATAAAAATTATGCATCAAAGATCATGCTTCAGTGCTTCACAAACAAAGCTTATGGAGGTGGCATATTAAACATCTCACAGGCTCACCATATCTGCAACCCACACGAATTAAAAATAAAAGGGATTAACTAAAAATGAACAAAAAGGGATAGTTAAAGGTAAGTGTATCTCCATTTACACAAGGGGAAGGGCGATTTTCCAGTTTTTATACGATCTGAGTCACATTAGGGGGCTACAATTTTACGTTTACATTATTTTAAAATTTATAATGAGAAAAAATCTTCTGGATTTGGATTTATGAGGGGTCTAAAACATTCTTTTTTGATAACCGAGAATCTATGTTGCTCGAACTCTCCAAAAATATCGACGGGTGCATGTCGTATTCTCCAAAAGCAGTGTATTTTTGGATAATCCAACACGGGTGCGGCAGTATTTTGGAGAGTCTGCACAACATAGCCGAGAATGGTCCAAGGAGGCAAGGACCAATGGCATATGGGTGCAGCTTGGTGGAAAAAGGGTCCACCCCTTTACGCTGGTTAATATGGCAAGTATACTATGTAAATATCGAGTCTTTCAATTGCAGTCACTTGCAGTTTACACTACTTGGGTAGCTTTTTAAAGCAGGATATAAGTTATTAAGATAACTTTAGTAGTCAAAATGAGCAGTAAAGTACACATGTCTTGAATACCCTGGGGAGCAATGATATACTAATCACCTCAGGAGCATATGAAGAATAATCCATCACACAGACATCACCCTTCAATGACAATGATAAAACCAGTGTTTCAATTATTTAAAGATCAGAGGAGTTGATGCTGAAGCATTGAAGTTAAAATCATCGATCAGATCAAAAAAGGAACCTGTTTGTAGTTGCAGTAACTTACCGGGAAAGACGTTGACATAGTGCTTGGACTCCCTAGTAGGATGGGAGCGGTTACACCAGTTGTAGTAGTAGCTCCACCTAAGCTGCGAGATAGGTCTTCCGGTGCTGAGAAGTCAGAGCTATCAAAAGTTGATATGGACACACATTCATCAAAATATGACAGTGCTTCTTCAGTAAGACGTTTTGACATTTTTTTCCTCTCATTACTTCTCTGCAGTGGAAATACAAGGACAAAGATTGTAAGCATACTAGTAAGATGTCAAAACATTATGGCACAGAAGGCTCATAACGGCTTCTAAATTGTTTAGATAACAGTGTGTGAGTTCAAAATTCAAGTTCAGTGCAGATATAGGTGGAGCCTCTCCAAAATTCAAGTTAAGTAGTTGCTGAAGTTGAATGGCAAGAAGGATGAAAGAAAGTAACAAAAGGACATGATCAACGCAGCTTTATCTCATTGTCTTGTTTGTGTAATATCTTCTGATGGATGTGAAAACTTCTAATCTATACAACTTGCATTTCACTTTGGCAAGTATTTTCTTATTGCATAGCAATCCTGTAGCACTTCTCCACTCCAGCCATCCTAATAAAACTCCATATGCTTTACTTCATCTGGAAAAAAGGAGGGGGGTGGAAAGAGAAAATAAGGAAAGATACAGAGTTAATCTATGCAACCACAAGATTTGAATTGGCTCCCAAAATTCTGGATCCACAAGCCAAAAAATGTAGGGATGAACCAGGATATTCTCACTCTTGTGAGAAGTGGTCACTGTCTAGAGGTAAGAAAGAAGAAAAGAGGAATGGCCAGCAGCTCCCTTACTCTCAAGCCAGAGTATGACAAAGAGAACTCTTATGCACCTATTTCTGCATATACTACTGCAAACACACAGCCGTTGCTATTAATACTTCAATATGCTCTCTGATGGTAGGCTAGGAACTCACGTTTTTAACTATTTTCGCACTCTAATTACTACACTTAGATTGTATTTGAGCCTAATTGTTAGTAATTTGTACTTATTACGTGTGTTATAATATGTAGGATGTGATTTCGAGCTGAGAAGCAAGTTTAGAGCTAAATGGATGAATTGGAGCTTTGAAGTCTGAGTAGAAGCCCAAAGAATTAAGCCGGGATCGTGTTCGGGGTTCGAGGACCAAGTCTAGATGTTAAAAATTGAGAAAAAAAAATAATTACTCTGGAAAAAATATACTACCGCGCCGCGCGGAGTGCTAGTGTAATTTTCCTGCAGAGTGAAAAAAATCAACTCTCTAAACTTTCCCATTAGCGCGGCGCATAGGGCGACACGGGGCGCGTCGCGCCTGTGTATTTTCCTTAGAGTAATTTCCCACTTCGGCTTGGAAAGGGTAGTTCTGTCCGGCCCCGCTTATACACGGTATAAATACATCAAAAATACGATTTTGAGAGGACTTTTGACCTACGGAGGATTGAGAGAGCATTGGAGGCTTCAAGACACAAGAATTCATCACTTTTCCACCAATTTAATACGAGAGTTTGGATTGTAACGTTGGATTGATGTTTTCTTATTCTTTAACTCTATATGATGACTTCCTCCATGATTATGGAGTAGTTTACCCTAGGGTTTGACATGATTTGGTGACTTGGTTGTTATCTATGGATTTGATTATTGGTTGATTGCTTGAATTTGTTGGAGAAGCTTTAACTCTAGTTGTGATTTTATTTATTATCATGTTTAATCGGAGGAGGAGCATAATATTGAATATTGTTGCAACGCATGCCTTAATTTAATTTGGTACTTCTTTAAAGTAATCGAAAGAGCTTTGTGATCTGCCGTTTGAATTAAGATTGAGAAATATTCGCGAGAAGTTTCTCTTAGATCATTCTTACTAATAGATTCCTTCAAGTTTCACTGTACTTCATATTAGCTTATTTGAATGATTTATGTTTAATCGAGAGAGAAACCTGAATTAGAATAATAGGATAATAACCTGTCGAATTCGAGAGAATCAATAAAACATTAAGAGTGAAATTTAACAGTGTTAAATCCAGGATAACAATCTTGCACCTATCATGTCATGACCCTTATTTCTCGCACTGATAATAACCCATTACTCTACTCTCTGTGATTAAATTTTACTTGCTTTAATTTCAATAGTTAATTTTTGTTCATAATCATCCCAAATCAAAGTGTTATTCATCCTGAATAGTGTTTAAGACCGAAATTACTTGAATATTATTTAAATCCAATCCCAGTGGAGACGATAATTATATTATACTAGCCAATTATCTTTGGCTAGCGAGCATCAATTTCGTGTTGTGTTTTGCGCTCGTCATTCTCGCAGCAACCAAAATGCCCTGGAAAACCATTGCAGCTAAAGAAGTATACCAACTTTATATACTACATCAACAAGAATACTATAATATCATTATAAGACATGGACATAGCTTAAATTTTGCATTTAGCACCTTTTCTTTTTCCTCTTTTCTGTTTTAAGTTAGACATGGAGAAGGCAAAAAACAAAGAAAACCTACTTTTCTTCCTGCACGAGATCTCTGAGGAGGTGAGGGTTTTGGATCAGACAGTATCTCCTTGAGAATCCTACTTATCTCCTGTCCTCGATGCTCTTCAACAGCCAGATCTGATCGAAGTTTTCTAGCCCGTTCTTCAGACTGCAAAATGCATGTAACAGTGAAGTTCACTAGATAATGAGGAGATTGAAAGAGAAAAGTATGAGTACAGTCGTAACACTGGCATCAGGAACTGTGAGATCAGAATACTCCCTAGTTTTAGACCTATTGCCAACCAGAAATGTAGCAAAATCTGAGCCAACCAACAGAAATTCGGTGCTCTTTCACTTTAAACAGCAGATACAGAAACACCATATAAGAATGGCCAAAAGAATTATCCCCCTATCAATCTTCAATAAAAAGAATCACCTTATCAAGTTTTCTGGCATATTCCCTTCTGATGTCTAAAACCAATTCAACAGCCTCAGGGTTGACCAAGTTAGGTGGGATATCAGGAACATTAGCAGCTGCATTAGCATTAACATTATTCCTTCGGATAGCCTAAATAAACACCAAATAAGAAAAAATGTAAGAGCCAGCTTTTAAGTACAAGCATGCATAATAAGTTAATAACAGCACACGCTTAAGTTGAAAACACATTCATCTTTATCCCAGAAAAAGAAAAGTTAAAGATATCATTAATTAAATTTTTTCCACGACCAACATGGACAATGAAAGTAAGACACTCCTCCGCAGACAAAAAATTTCACCTTTCACAAGATTTTGATAAGTCTTTTGATTTCCCTTATCTCTACTTATCAAAAACCATGTGCATATTTGTATCAATGACCAAACTGAATTAAAACATGCCACATGCATATTCATATTAATGATTAAAATGATTAAAAGGTCACATGCATACTCATATTAATGACCAAAATGGATTAAAAAGAAGCAACATGCATAATCAAAGTAATGATTGAGAATCTTCACAAAAATAACACTCACATCCTTGCAAAATCAACTTGTAAGACGGTACTTATAAAAAAGAAAAGTTAATCTCAAGGTAGTTTGTATACCATCAGATACCATGGGATTTACTAGAGGTAGTTACTCTTATATCCATGATACCATTAGAACTTACATCTTCAAGGTCTGTCTGAATATCAGAAATAGCACGCCTAACTTCAGAGCGAACAGTTTCATATATTCCACTAGTAGCAGTATCAGCACCCCACTGGTCACTTTGATCTGACTGAAACATAATAAAGATGCCAAAACCATGTTACATGGAGTATCTACAGAAATGGAGAGAATCACACTTTTTGCTCCTTAACTATTCAGCCTCCGACAATTTTATACCCTAGTTTTTGAAGTTCCCATCCTAGTCCCCAATTATATCACATTAAAACTTTTGTTTCCATGGAACTAAGTCAAACATCATCATATTTTAGTAGAGGACGATTTTATTTTTCATTTGGTAGATATATTATAGCTACCCCACTACAAGTGAGAAGGAATGAATTTTTTTAATATTCTTGAGAAAATGAACTAGAATCACAAAATTTACACAGTTTTCATGCTTTTTGTTTCCCACGATCACACAGGTTTGTAATCATATACAGCATAAGCAGTTACNAATTCAGTGAATCCACAAAATCCCACATTCTCCTAGGTAAACTAATGAATTCCATCCATCTCCACAACCCCTTTCCCCTACACGGCTACACCAGCAGGGCTCCCAACTCTACCATAAACTATAGACCTGTCTTCCCAATTTGCTTTTCTCTATCAAGAGTAGACCCACCACTTACCAAACATAGACACGGGAAAAAGAAAGAAGGTTTGGAGAGAGATGCAGCCTGGTGGATAGTGCAAGTTATTCACTCACATCTTATATCCATTTTTTTAAAGTTTGGAATTGAAATGCCAAAAGCAGGTAAAAATAGCTCTTCTGACAACTTTAAAGCTGTTTGGATTGGTATAAAGAGAACAATTAACAGGAGGACCAATTCTACTGACAGAACAAAAGGATGGAAATTTTGGCAAGACAAATATACAAGAGATCCTATTGTCGAAGAACAAAGAATATACTTTCTTGCAGGAAATGCGACACTAATTTCTATTTGACGCGCGCCAAAAACATACTTTCTAAACAGTGTGAGGAAGAGAGGTGATTATTAATAGTTCGATAAACAGGAGTACGATATGCTCCAAACAAGAACTCACCTTCACTTGCTCACAAAAAGCTTTTATGGTCTTCTCTTCGGCTTCTGACAAAGAACATGCTGAAACTCCATCTTCCCAATTTGAAATATGCACACTACACTGGAAAAGAAAATGATTTATGATATCACACCTGCAGCCTAAAATAATTGAAATCGGTTATTGTGCAACCATGCAAATTATACTCACAGCAGAATCATCTTCAGAATACTCAGTGACTTGACCATGCCTCATTGCTCCTGGTGAGCTCTTGGCCAGGCCGCTTCTATCAGTATCATTTCTAGCTATATTGGAATTTTTTGAACTGTTAGCTGCCTTTTTCGACAAAGGTCTTTGTATGGTGTTTGATTGCAGCTCCTTTTCGCTCTAAGATCATGTTAAATTTAAGTAAGAATCTAGCACGTGAAAAGGGTCCCCAATTTGAATACAATTCTGACACACCAAAACAATAAGCAAATGTAAAAGCAAGTTCAAAACTTCAAATACAGCACAGATTGCACATATATAGTAGGCAACTTCCAAAAAACATTTTTGGGTTCTGTAACACGTATAACTCATCATATACTATACCCTTTTCAGAGCAAACAGCATAAATTCTTTTATTAACTTAAAATACAAAGCAGTTGGCACGCTAAGTTTTTCCTTGGGATTGACAACTCAAATAAAATGAGTAATATCCATCTACGTTGTAAAATAGAATGAATAGTACCCATATAGACTACCCAATCACATCTGATCGTAATAATGGTTCACCAAGTCACTGCCAGTTTGCCACATTTACCGAAAATGATGATATCGCTTTTGAAGACCATGGCATTACATCAATCATACTAGAGCACATGCCAAAGTGGAAGACTATCTGTTCAAATTGAGAAACTGCCTGTATCTACTATCTACTTTCTTGGCCTATTTGAATCAGCAGTAGGCCATCCAAAGACGATTTAAAATTATGACATACAACCACATGTTTAGTGTTGACAAGAACTATACTTCCAGGCTCAGCTTAGGCATAACATCTCAGATTCACCTACGAAACTCCAAAATCTAACTACTATTCCATATTAATAGAATAAAATAAAAAATGATAAAGGAAAAAATCGAAATTTGCACAATCTAATACTCTAAATCACAATTAACTGTATTTTGAAGTCAAAACTACGATATTTTACATCAAATTGTTGCTTAAATATTTTTTATAACCAAAACCTTAATTATTTGCCAGCATTTTTATCCTAGTTTACTTCTGTTTACCAAATCCTAAAGGCTAAATGAGAAATAAAACTCCAAAAACAGGTCAAAATTGATCAAATAGACAACTAATTTGTAAATTTATTCCAAATTGCAAAAGCGAACACTTCCAAAATTGACGAACAAAACATTAGATAACAAACCTCATAAGCAGATCCATAGTGTCCTCTGGATACAGACCGACCTCGAACTCTAGAAACACTTCGCCCAATCCCATTTTTAACACCGGAGGATCCTCTCGTAACCGTCCGTCCCCTCTCTTCCGCAACATCCCTAACTGAACTTTTCCTTGTATCGCAAAAATTCTCCTTTTCCTTCAATTTATCTTTGTCGTTCTCGGTCCAGAAGAGAGGATTGTCGCATTTATTGGAAAATTCTGAATCAATGTCGAGTTTTGACGAAGTTCTGGAAACGGCGCTTACACTCAATGATCGTTTTCGGATAAGAGGAGGAGCTTTGGAAGTTGAAGAATTGGAAGTGGAGTTGGTGGTTCCTCTACGGGAAGTGGATTTGAAGGCTGAAGTTGCCATTTACAACAGTCACGAGATTTTTGTGAAGCTTTTCGCAAAAGGAAGAAAATGTTTTGCTGAGAAAACGGAAATTACAATAAAAAGAAACCAAGAATAAATGACAGTTCATTTATTAGCGGTACTAAATTGGTCAAAGCATTTTTTTTTTTTCACATGGTGTGAGCACATACTTTAGGACTGGACTAATTGGGATTGACGCCGGAGTCAAACTAGCATTTACAAATACTAAACGGAGCCTAATTGAGAGGGTGACCATGACGGCTACGAGGAAGTCCAGGAGGCTAAGACGTGAAACACGAGTATTAGGGTTGAAGATTAATACGTTAGTGGCGAGTCTGTTTTATGCTTGTCAGTAAAATTAGTCCTATTGTTATATTTGCTTATTCCTGGTTCGTTATTAGTATATATTGTGTTATTCGCTTATATTATCCTATTACCTTGTTATTCCTATTGTTTGTTAATTTTGTTCACTGTTCTTGGCGAGGGTATAGAAAATAAATTCTCTATTTTCATATGGTAGGATAAGGTTTACTTAAAGTACATTAGGTTTGTTATCATTGTTGTTGTAAACGGAGTGTAATTGAAATATGCATATTTTGTGTTTTTGCAGATTGTTATAGTGATTATAAATTTTATAAAATAAATATTAAAAAAAGTATTTTGCTACAACTGTTTACATTTTTTTTTCTGAACTTGGTCAATTAAAGTTCAAGTCGTAATTATATTGTAGATCATACTTACTTCAAATGCTCCTAATTTTTGTCAACCAAAGGTCTTTTTTTGTTTTTTAGCTAAAAGTATTTTTTTCAGATTTGATCCATGCATTAAAAAAGGGCTAAACATTAATTTTGAAACGCTAGCTAAAAGTCAATTAGCGGTCTCACAAATGATCTTTGCTAAAGTCCATATATTGAATTTGAGGAACCATCAACGTTGATACTCCCCATTAAGTTAAAGTTTCAATTCGAGTCCTTAGTAGAAACTCATTTTGGCAGAAAGCTCAAAATTGAGCTTTTAGGCACAAATTCGAATTAATGAAGGTCCAAAACGGACATATACTAACTGAATTTGGGGTGAAACCCAATATTGGGCAAAGAGCCATACAGATAGGCTCTGGAGCTAGGAGATACGCCCTCTCACGTGCCACTAAAGCAAATTCTTGGCGCGCAATTAAACCCTTCCTCCGAAATCACTAGGGTTTTAGCACTTCAATCCGACAAAGTTTCCGATAACTCCGCTTTCCCCAACATAGCTGAGCTTCTTCAGCTTCTATGGCATGAAACTACACACTCTTAACCCTCAAACCCCACTAACACAATCCAATCCCATGGCTTTTTCCACCGGAATCCGTCTACTGCGCTGCTACCACCACCACTTCACTTTCACTGCAACACCATCCCGCTTCTCGGGGCTCCGAAAAACCTCGTCGGAGCTCCGGTTCCTTTCCTCGGTCACTCCGCCGCCAAGGAAGCAACTCCGACCGGTGAGTGCCCGGCGGAAGGAGGAGGAGGCTGGGTATGAAGGCAATGGAAGTGTTATTCTAAGAGATAGAGGCGAAAATGAGGGCGGAAACGGAGGTGAGAGAGTTGTACCTACCGAGCTCCACAAGGAGGCTACCGAGGCATACATGTCTTATGCCATGTCAGTGCTGCTCGGTCGCGCTTTACCCGACGTCAGGGACGGGTTGAAGCCGGTGCACAGGCGAATACTGTGAGTTTTCTTACTTGAGAAATGCGTGGTTAAATGGGAAGTAACCCAAGGGATATTGGTGTTAAAGCTCTATTGGAGGCATGGAAAAAATAACTCTGATTTTGCTAGTCACTATTGCTTATTCTTTGTTGTGATTATTGCGGCTATATCAAGCATATGTTACTTTATTTACGGAACAGAATTCAGTAAATATCTAGAAGCTATACTAAAGGTACTCTTAAAGCATTTTTTTCTATATCAAAATAAGGAAAAATACTTTATAACACTATTTTGTTGCTATTTAAAAGCGGCAATCGTTTTAGTAGGATAGGGGAGCAATAGTATATTTGGGAGAAAAGTTTAGTCTTTATAATCTACATAATCAAATTAATTGGACCTTCTGTCCAAAAAACTCTGATTGGCATTGCAAAACACATAATAAATAGAAATGTCTTACTCATAGAATATTGCAGCATAAATTAAGAAAATGCCAATGATGGTTAAAATGTTTTATGTGTAGAAAACTTCTTCACTTGATATTCCACCGGATATCTATTATTTTCCACCAATCCATGTACTGGTTATCTCTACCCACTAAGACTTAGGCAGTTGGTTAATTTCTCAGACCATAAATCTTAATGTAATTAGATTGCAAGTCACGACTGCGTGTTGCTTGCTTAATTCTAAATAGTTGTAGTAGATTTTTCCTTTACATCTGATCCCATTTTGCTACTAGCCCCCCCCAAGGGAAAAGAAAGACTGAATAGCCAAAGGCAGGCCAAGTATGCCATCTGATTCATGTTTATCACGACCGAGTGTTGTAGAACTAATTTTTTATTTGAAAATGTGCACCAGAGGTTAACATTTTGGTAGAGATTTCTTTGCCTTGTATTAGTTGTTTTTGTACTATCTGCTCTACTTATCGTTTGAATCTGTGTTGGATTTATAAAAGTTATTGGTATTTTGGCTACAGATACGCGATGCATGAGTTAGGGCTTTCTTCCAAGAAACCGTATAAGAAGTGTGCAAGAGTTGTTGGAGAGGTTGTAGCCCATCTTTGTTTTTCTCCTATGCCTACGTGATAAAATAATGATTATCTGCTGCAAGTATTCTTGTGCCATATTTATTGCAAGTATCTTATTTTGTTTCCCCTCTTTTTTTAGGTGCTTGGCAAGTTTCATCCCCATGGAGACACTGCAGTCTATGATTCCTTGGTCCGAATGGCCCAGGTAATATCAGAGGATTAACACTTACAAAAGGGGTGTCTATGTCAGTTGTTTTAAATTGATTCAGTATGGCACTTTTCTAACTGCTTTCAAGTATGAGTTGTAGCAGAACTGAAAAGCTTTACGAGCTCCAAGTATCTAGATCATGAGTTTGTAATAGAACTTGTTATCAAACTCTAGGGCCAGATCCTTTTCTGATTGTTGAGTAGTTAAATTGGTCTGAATTCCTTCCGCGCTACATTTTGCAGTGTGCTTGGCTACTGGGTACTATTTAGTTCTTCTGTAACCTTTTCATGATATAATATTTTCCAGGATTTTTCCTTGCGGTCTCCACTTATTCGAGGGCATGGAAACTTTGGTTCAATTGATGCAGATCCTCCTGCGGCTATGCGGTATACTGAATGTCGACTGGAAGTAGGTTAAACCCAGCCTTTCTGTGTTTTCTGAATCTTTGAGTGCATTGTCCATTTGGAAACTGTTGCTTCTTAACAAGTGCTCAGGTTCAAATCCTAAGGCTACCAGTATGAATGTGATTAATATAGTTTGTGTTGATAGTGGAGACAATAACAACTAGGATCTCCTATCCTTTCTTGAATCTAATCAGATATGTAGGTTTTATCACCATTCAGAATTGTCATAAATTTTGATAAATTCAGTTAAATGAGCAAGAAGTTCACATGCAAGTTTTGTCATGACATTGGTATCTGATCTCTGTTCTGTTTTATGCAAGGAAGTTGCAGTTGTCCTTATGTCATAGTGAAACTGTTGTTCCTGACCTGCTTATTTTTTTCATCAAAAGAATCTTTATCTGAAATAAATCCTAGTCTTGATCACATTATTGCTAACCTTTTCGATTATGCTTAAGTTGTTGATATAACTTCCTTGTGGGTAAAGAATAGTACATGAAGTGTGTCCTATACGGCTAGGTTTATTGCTTTCTGTATAATTTATTTAACATTATTTAAGCAACATATTAAGCTCATCATTATTCCTCTCAGGCACTCACTGAGGCCATGCTATTAGCAGATCTGGAGCAGAATACAGTCAGTTTCCCTCCTTTAAATTAAAATTTGTAATAAGTTGGATGGAAGTTCTCTCTTAGGTTCTTTACATTATGTTTGATGTGTTGCAGGTAGATTTTGTCCCAAATTTCGACAACTCTCAGAAAGAACCATCGTTGCTTCCTGCTCGTGTTCCGAACTTGTTGTTAAACGGTGCTTCCGGGATTGCGGTGACCCATTTGACTTTGTTACTAGCTATTTAGTAGCTTTTTATGCCCCATATTAGGGCAAATAATATCAGAAATATTTCTAAATATGATGAGTTTTATTTATATTCTGCTGTTTTCAGGTTGGCATGGCTACCAATATTCCCCCCCATAATCTTGGGGAGCTCGTTGATGCACTATCTGCACTGATTCATAATCCAGAAGCCACGGTAGACATTTGTCTCTTAAGACATGCTTATGGATATATCTCTTGCCTCCTTACCTTTTTATGTGAAATCATTGATTGCTTTTATTTGCATTAAAGAAAAGAAGAGAGAATATAAATGTTCCAAATGTTTGTTTCCTGCTCTTATACCAATTTTATACTATTAATTTCCATGTTTGGTTTTTATGTTATAACTATCACAATTTATTGTTTCTTTGGCAATGATCTTGGTGTCAAATGCTAAAATGCAACCTCTCTACGGGCTTGCGGTAAAGATTCTGATTTTATACATTTGGATTTCTTGTTCTCCCACGTACTTCATGTGTGAATTTTATTTTCCTGTAGATAAGGAGGATTGTGCACATATTCGTTGTCTGTTTTTCTAGTATTCACTTGTAGTTATATTAACATGTAAACCTTTCTTACTCATAGTTTCTAAGTTCTCTATTTCGTGTGCCATACGCCCACACCTATTTGGAGGTTTGGTTGTCTGCTAAAATTGGAATCATCTCCCAGTTTTAGGCCATTGTTTATGAACCAGAGTTTCATATGCTTAATTGTAAAAAGGTTGTGATGACTGCTCTTGTTTCCTATCTAGCTGCAAGAACTGTTGGAGTACATGCCTGGACCTGACTTCCCAACTGGTGGAATAATTATGGGCAACATTGGGTAGGTATTCTTAGCTCCTGTTTCTTCCTCTTTCCCACTTCCCACTCACCCGTAAAGATTGAAGAGATCATAACATCGAGTCTTAGACGCAGTGGCTCACTCAGTGTACATAATTGTGCCCAAACAGGAAAGAAGTATTT